AGAGAGAGTGAGAGAGTCAACTAGCAATGTCCTGTTATTTTGGCCTCTAGGATTTTGAAATATTTACCCTGGGATAGTGATTTCTTCTTATAGCTCCAATCATGTTTTTGAACATAAAAAAAAAAAAAATCATTGTATTATACAAAGGTAGCCATTGTATTATAAAAAGGTAGATTTTCTTCTTAAAGCTGTTTCTAAATATCCAAAGACTCCAGTGATTCATTAAAATACTTTTGTTTCCCTAGGAAAAAAAGTTTCCACAAATGCACGGTAATCATTTGGCATTTTGTAGGCTTAAGCCTTGGGGAGTTAGTGGTATTTGGTTCCTGACATGGAAGCCTTTCTCTTGTCAGACAAATCCTTCCCCTGCACATTCCTGCTAAAAAGTTTGTTGCTGTTGTGCCTAATGGCAGGCAGTGTGGTGTACTGCCCAAGCTAACTCTCCACGCTGATACTTCAGCCTCTCTGTGAGTTAGCTTTAACTTTACAGCTAGTCATCCATTTGTTGTTTCATCTTACTCCAGAGTCATTAGACCTGGGGGAAAATTGTCATAACTATGTGGTGGCGAAGAGACATAAATGTGCATTAAAAAATGCAACAACTTGTAGTCTTTAAATTCTCTTTAGATGACTTTATTTTTGTTAACATTTATGCAGGGATTTGTAAGAAAAACATAAGTATATCTGAGAAATTTGGATATTTTTAGGAAGTGATTGTGCATTTTGAGAAAAATACAAATTAGATTATGTTTGACCTTGATTTAGGAAATCTTTGTTCTGATGATTTGATATTTAGTCTCAATGTTTTGAATTTTGTAAATTATTCCCATGAAAGAATGTAACACTAGGAAAGTTTCACTGAAGGAGCAAACACCAAGTGAATACAGCATACGGCAGCAGCACTCATGAGCAAAATACTTAGTTTAAAAAAAAAAAAATACATTGATTTAAAGCCACCAAAGCACAGACATCAGAAAGTAGTTGAGGCACCAGAGTCTATGGAGAAGGAAATTAAGATGGGATGAATGGCAGCATTTGAATCAATTGCTGTTTAAATACTTTTTCTGTTTTCTTCATGATCACATGTAATGTTAAAAAATGTATGCAAATTCAACCTTGGAGCATTAGGTAGTTATCAGGCCATTTGGATGTTTTGAGATTCTTATTTTAACCAGTACTGTTGATTGTGAGGCTACAAATGTCTGTGTATGTGAGTGAGTGTGTGTGTGTGTGTGTGTGTGTGTTGTAAATGTAAATATTTAAATTGGTTTAGTATAATCTGCAAAAATTAACCTAACTTTATATGAAAAAAAGTGCAAGTGGCAATGGTAGACGTTCCTATGTCCTGTCTATTGGCAGATATATTATAAGCCTTTTTTTCATTTTATGTCTTTGATAGTTTTCTAGCAAATTTATTTAATTAGTGAAAGAATTGGCTTAAAGAACCGAGAGAGAGAGAGAGAGAGAGAGAGAGAGAGAGAGAGAAAGGAAAAAGAAAGCATATTATATAATCATTCCAAAAAATGTATTTAATTAGAGGAATCAGTACAGCTATTTTAAAGAACCATATATGTTTGCTATATCAAAAAGGAATATTTCAGTGTACATATTTATATCAATATAGATATGTCACACATATGAAATAAAAAGAATATAAAGAATGCATACATTCAGATAAGTCTTTTTCTAAAATAAACTGATGATAGCGATTTTAACACAGGGGCAGCCTTGGCTTACTATTTCCTACTGGATATTGAAAAATATAATTTTTAGGTTAGTTTATTTCTATCCAACCACTCAAAAATTGGTAGGACAAGTAACACAGTATTATGAAGCATTTAGAAAATTGTGATATCTTAAATAGATTGAATTTCTGTAGTTTAAATATAATAGTTTAATTGATTTTAAAATGTCAATTTAAAAATTGATATTTTCTAATTGCTGCTATTGATGAGAATAGTATTTGACATTTGTATCAGGATTCATGGCTTTCAAATCCTTTACATATACATAAATTCAGTTATATTTCATCTAAGAATTAATTGCTGTCAATTAAGGGTAAACTAAAACATTGACTTTACTTGGGTTATTAATAGCCAGTCTCTTTTATTTAAGGGATGAATGCTACAATTAAACAAATAAGGCAATTATATGCAAACCTCACTCTCACAAACTGATGCTGAGCTGGACATTAACAGAAAAAAGAAATTAGGTTCACAGATAATAATGAAAAAATGTAGACAATGATGCCACCATGCAGATAGGTTTCAGTTTTTTTTTCATATAAAAAGAGTGCTACTTTCTAATGTGCCAGAATATCCAACAGAGAGTGTGTGCATATGGTTTAAACAGTGCATGTTTTAGGTAAATACACATGCACACTAAGAAGCAGTACTGTGATTTGACCAATAAATCATAATATTCATTTAATTTTATAATGGAATTTAAAACTAGCAATAGCTTTAGAGGTTGTTTAGTTCAGTTCTCTCATTTTACACATACCATATGTTTCTATGGTGTTTTTACTATTGAAGTTAAATATAAACATGTTCAAATCTGTGCTGAAGTAGATTATGAGAAATAAAAACCCTCAGTCATTCCAATCACCTATTCATCAGCAAGGCACATTCATTACAAAGAATGAATTATCTATTCATCAGTGAATGTTAACCATATTGACACAAATTTTAAGTAAAATCAAAATATATATTTATAAATAACATCCTGAAATGATAACTAGCAGCCATAGTATTTCCGAATATTGCAGGACTCACCTTATACAGGAACAATGTATTCACTGCTAGGGGAAAGGGGTTAATTTATTGAATGGTGCATTTATAATCTATAGCTATACCTTTTGAAGCTATTAATTTCATTAGAAACTTAGAGTCTGGGATATGCATTTTGCTAACAATTGCACAATTACCGAGTATTCTGGAGTGACTTATCTGTTTCTATTCATATTCATTTTCCAGCAAGCTTTTTTTTCAAAGTAAGAAAAATGGAATGATCAAGGATTAGGTTTTGCAGACGTAAAGATGACAGAGAAAGCTCATTTGGTCACTAGAATAACACATTTCAAAATCTTTAGCGTTATCTTCTCATATGTAATTCATATTGAAGTTGATAATAAATGTAATATGTGCTCAGTGAAAAATGTTTGGAAATACTGAAAGGAGGAATAAGAAAATGACAATTAACTACAAACGTATTACCCAGGAAAACAATACAAAATACGTTTTTGTCAATTTTTTCACTCTACGCATCCCTCCCTGCCTTTCCCCACCACATACGTGCACATGCATATCCATACGCTAGACATCCCTCGCTCCCGCCATTTCCCAGCACATATATATGCACACGCATGTCTACACCTGTATGTTTTCCTTATGCATCTGGCTCTGCAGCTTATATGATTTCTGACTTTTGGCAAGTTACTTAGCTTTTCTGTGCCTTAGCTTTTTAATCTTTACAATATGGATAGCATTAATATCCATGTTATAGAACTTTACAAATTAAATGAGATGATAAATATAAAGTTTTAGAAGCATGCCTGACAATGCATATTATTATTAGAGTTATAATATACTTTTAAACATTTTAAATAAATGAATCTTTCTCATTTTTATTTGAAAGATTAGCCCATTACTAGTATTTTATAAAATTTTCATAAGCCATAATAAAACTTTTTCCCCTCCTGATAATGGTAGTTAAGTGGAACATCTGAAAAATATGTTCCATGCAAAATGGATCTTCACACAAACTTACTTTGTCATTTTAGTTTGATTTTTGAGAAATGAGTTCGGCACATCTGCCAAATCCTTTTATAAGATGCTACATTCCTGTTTTTATTTTAGTTTATTTTATTTATGAAAAGTTCGTTTCTCCTCCACCCCACCCCCAGACAGTCATTCCTTTTTGTGCTAAACCATAACATTGCTGTACATTACATTTTTAAAAGTAAACCAAAACTGGAAAGAAAAACTAGAAGGAATATGCCACTATTTTTTAAAAGTCATTCTCCTATTGGCCTAGCTAGAGGGGAAAAAAATCCTGTTTTGAAAATATACTGTTTGATAATGGACGTTTATGTTTGTTTGCCAAATGTAGAATCACAGACGTTTTTTTGTTTTTGGTGTGGGAAGGAGGCAACTGGTTTGGGGAGGAAAAAATGGAGTAAAGCAGATGAAGAAGAATCAGTTTGCAAGCATATGTTAATATTTAGATTCTTTTTTTTAAAAAAATGAAAACTTAACTAGTTAATGCTCTTTTACAAACTGTCTTTGATACTGTGTTTTGTTTATTCCATCCCAGAAGAAGTTAGCGGTATTCAGCAAGATGCAGGACTCTCTGGAAGTCACCCTTCCCAGCAAACAAGAGGAGGAGGATGAGGAGGAGGAGGAGGAGGAGGAGGAGAAAGACCAGCCTGCCGAGATGGAGTACCTTAACTCTCGCTGTGTCCTTTTCACTTATTTCCAGGGAGACATTGGGTCAGTAGTGGATGAACACTTCTCAAGAGCTTTGGGCCAAGCCATCACCCTCCATCCAGAATCTGCCATTTCAAAAAGCAAGATGGGGCTAACCCCCCTATGGCGAGGTAAGAATTCAAAAGCAGATGCTCTCCAGGGCACTGTCTCTGTTTTGCAACTGCCTGAGCCAGGTTCCAGCTGGAGACTTGCCCCTGAGGATGGATATCCACTTGCTTTTTAATACTTAAGGACAGCGAGGAATTTCTTTCAAACAAACAGCTGGATTGGTTTTGTCGCATGTGGAATGCAGGATTGGAAAGGATGCAGTCACACCCCTTGAATTCCTCATGAAAAGTAGTAATACAACCGGCTTGAGTTTATAGTGGCTGGATGGAGCTGCGAAGCACCATTCTTAAAGCCCCAGTGGCCCAATTTGGTTCTGTAAATAATAGGCGTGCCTAAATCAGCTTTTAAAAAATTAGCTCTTGCTCATTCCAATAGGTGCTATGTGGCGACACAGAAGAGACCCGAGTCTGACCCAGGAATACAGACCTTGGGAGCTGCCTGTGTTCTTTTGATAGACTTCTCTGTCCCAATTTGTTGCAGTATCAACTCTTTGTAGTATACAATCTAGCCACTCTTGGCAGCGTCTGCATGGTTTAAACTAGTGTTTTTACCTTGATAAAGAAAGAGGAGTACATTGGGCTTCTTTATTTCTTCCTCTATCGAGGTCACAGAGATGTGTTTGAAACTGATTTCTGACTCACAGAAAATTATTGGTGACATCTAAATCAGGGTAATTACAGGGTTACAGAAAAACATAATACGTCATTCCAATGACAGCTTCAGAGAAATCTGTTACAGCAGTGATTTCTTCCAAACTCACCTGGTTACAGGAATGACCTACTAAAATGGTTCTCAAGGTATGATTTTCCTGACCGGGAGCATCAGTGCCACACGGGAGCTTGTTAGAAGCACAAATTCTCCACCCTAGAACTGCACAGTCATAAACTCTGAGGTGGGGCAATCTGTGTCTTAATCAGCCCTCCCAGTGACTCAGTTGCAGGCTTGAGTTTGATAATCATTCATCTGGTGCTGTTAGACAGTTTGCAGGCCCCCCCTTATCTTGAATCTCTTGACCTGGAATCTTCATAGGAAGGTGTGGGAATCACACTTTAACAAGGGTAGGGGTGACTCCTATCATGAGGAAAAGCTGGCCACCTGTGGACAGGGCCAGGTGAGCAGTGAGCAGTGACTAGTGATCCCCTCTCAGCAGCCCAGGACTGGTTCTGCTCTACTGTAAAAGTCCTGGCCACATGGAATTGCTGGGCCTGATTTTTCTTATCTGCTTTACGTTTCTTTTCTTCTCTCCCTCCTTCCCTTCTTACTCTCTCTCCTTCCTTCCCTCCCTGCTTGCTCTCCTCTCATCTCCTTTCCTTTTTTTTTCTTTACTTCCTTATTTTTCCTTTTAGTAAACATAAACAACACTAAACAGTGACTCTAAAGGGGAAGGTGAATTACAAATAAAACATCCAAGTTCTTAATAGAAATGAATTGAAATACATACTACTTATTAGATTAGTAAATATTACGGACCTACCACGAGAACTGAGACTTAGTCCTTGGAAGCCCAAGATGCTTATGTAATCAACTAATGTCCTATTTAACAGGACATGATGAATACCTTTAATAATTTGTAGAGGAGGAAAATAGGAAAACATTAGTGAATTAGATGGCTTTAATAAATAATTTGCTATATCAATAATAAATCCTATCATGAAAATCAGTCCCAGGAGAGTAGCAAACATAATGTCTACTTCTTTTAGCACATGGGCATATGCAACCTTGCTATCATTTAACCTGAAAGGTCAGAATTAAAGTCCCTAATTTTTTCTGGGTGCGAGAGTGATTGTCTATAGTATCATATTCAAAATAATTTTAAGTGTGATGTTGTGAATGTGCAGAAACCGTGTGATACATCAGTGTTTTCTCTGTAATCTGCATAACACAATATACAAGGTCCTTTAGCAGATGTTAAATTTTAGCATAGAAAGTGTTTATAAAGGTATTATTAGAATTTTCTTGGAATCATCTTCAATTTGATTTTCAAGCATGTCTCCTGTTTGATTTATTTACTTACTCAGCAAACATTTCTCAACCTCCTGCTGTGTGTTAGGCAATGTGCTGATTCCTGAGACTCTATCAGTGAAGGAGACAGCCCAAGGCTCTATCCTCATGAACTTTGCCACAGTTGTTTTTAGTTGTGAATTAGTCAGATTTAGATAAACATATAAAACATGGCGCTGAGGTTATGGGGTAGAATCTGAAAACAAACAATTGTTACCAAAGGTGCTATTTTACATAAGGTGATAACAAAAGCCCTGTCTGACACAGTTGTGTTTGAGCAGATAGCTGAAGGAAATAAGAATACTCATCATATGGTTATCTAGGGAAAAATATTCTACACAGCAGGGACGGACAGTACAAAGGCCCTGAAGATGGATTGAACTTAGAATAATACTCTATAAGAAGCAAAAATACTGGTGTGAGGGGAACAAAAGGAAAAGTGATAGGTGGAGAACAGATATTTTAGAGCTGTGTGTGTGTGTGTGTGTGTGTGTGTGTGTGTGTGTGTGTGTGTCGGAGTTTTGTTCTTGTCACCCAGGCTGCAGTGCAACGGTGCAATCTCAGCTCACTGCAACCTTTGTCTCCTGGGTTCATATGATTCTCCTGCCTTAGCCTCCCGAGTAGCTGGGATTACAGGTGCCCGCCACCACGCCCAGCTAATTTTTGTTTCTTTATTTGTTTTTTAGTAGAGACGGAGTTTCACCATGTTGGCCAGGCTGGTCTCGAAGTCCTGACTTTAGGTGATCCACCCACCTCAGCCTCCCAAAATGCTGGGATTACTGGCGTGAGCCACCACGCCTGGCTGTTTTAAAGCTTTTTACATCAGTGTATCAGAGTATACCAGGAACACAGCATGCACTTCAATTTTCATCTCCTATTCTGCCACTAAGTCTACAAACACCACATCTGCTTATCATTCCTCATCTTTTCTGATGCTCACAGCAATGTGTTTCTATGTGGAAAATCTGAAATAAATATGAATTGATTAAGTGACTGAATTAAATGAACAAATTTCATACCATGTATCCAAAATTAGAAAACAAAAAGCCCTTAATAGAAAATTTCTTGGTAATAAGTTATATGAAATCTTTGGGTACAGTTTGCTTATTTATAAAACAAAGTGATTGAATTCAATAATTGGTAAAAATCTTTTCTTCTGTAAAGTTCTGTGATTTCAAATGTATTACTTGCTTTTCTTAGAACTTTGCCGTAGTTGTCTTTAGTTGCGAATTAATCAGATTTAGATAAACGTATAAAACTTGCATAGGATTTACAGGAGAGCCACAAACGGAAATTAAAGATATAGCAAATGTCTTAAAGAAGAGGTCCAATAAAATGAGATTCACATTTTCATTCTCATAAAATAAGAGAGTTAGTGACAATTTAATTTTAATTGGCAAAGCTACACAGGATTGGAAGAATGCAGTCTTTGGAATCCATTTGTTTTAGATTCATGTCCCAGCCATTACCTTCTGCTTGCAATGTGATCTTGGATTACTAAATTAAAATCTCCTACATCAGCTTCCTCAACTGTAATATATGTTTAAGGATACCCATCTCCTAGAGTGATTGTAAAGATTTTTTAATAATGTATATGAATCATTTAGCACAGAGCTTGACTCAAGGTGTTAAATGAAAGTCAGATGCCTTTTCTCTTTTCCTTAAGTAAGTTTTCACTCATTTGGCACATAGAAAACAAACCCTGAATCTTTATCCAGGAACATTGTTTTCTGGAACTTTGTGTTTTTGGTACAAAACACAGAGTCCTAGATAATAGTAGATAGTAAAGGCTATTGATAATGTTAGTCCATGGTAATGATGCTTAGAAAGGAACTGCTGACCAAGTGTTAAAGGTCTAGTTTCCAGCATCAAGTTATTACAGTGCCACAGAAGTGGTACCGTGCTAAAAACAAATTTAATAACTGAATTATGTTTGACTGCAGTTCCATGGTAAATCTTTAGACAAAGAATAGTGTGTGTTGGCTAATTATGAAATAATGTTTATAGTTTGAATGTGTATCTTCTTGATGAAGCTGGGAAAGTATTTTTAGGTAAGGCAAACAGTGACAGAAAACATATGTATTTATTTGGCTCCATGTCTCACCAGTTACCTCTAATCCTGCTATATATTCTAACGGGGTTGAGAAAATTTCACTTCTCCATTAAAATAACCTAACAAGCTCACGCCTGTAATCCCAGCACTTTGGGAGACCAAGGCGGGTGGATCACCTGAAGTCAGGAGTTCGAGACCAGCCTGGCCAACATGGTGAAATCCAGTCTCTACTAAAAATATAAAAAATTAGCCAGGTGTGGTGGAAGGCACCTATGATTCCAACTGCTTGGGAGGCTGAGGCAGAAGAATCGCTTGAGCCCAGGAGGCGGAGGTTGCAGTGAGTCGAGATTGTGCTATTGCATTCCGGTTTGGACGACAGAGTGAGATTCCATCTCAAAAAAAAAAAAAAAGAAAAAGAAAGAAGGAAGGAAGGAAGGAAGGAAGGAAAAGAATGAATGAAAGAAGGAAGGAAGGAAGGGAAAAAGAAAATCTAATGAATATGAGTGTTCCCTTATCTCCATGTAAATATGTGTTTATTGATACCCTTTTCCTAGAGTTATTATAAAGATTTTAAAAGATAATCTATATGACTAATTTAGTACAGAGCTAAACATTAGCTTCAAATTTGTCTATGCACTGATCTTTGCAGAATGTGTGTGTGTGTGTGTGTGTGTGTCGTAGAAAAGGGAGGGAGTTATGTCAAGCCACAGCAGAGTAGATCACTGACTTAAAACCATACCGAATGCTAATCTGATATTGTAGTTGCAAAGAAAATGATCTGTTGGCTCATTGATGTACAGAGGGCCTTCTGGGCAATTCATTCTCATAGGAAAGAACTCTCAAAAAGTACAAAACCTAAATGGTCAAATGGAGAAAGGAAAAGGAGGGCCTGTCTGATGAGCTGGCTGATACTGGAAATGAACAGAATGTCCACAGGACCAAGACATGGGGAAAAAAGTGAGGTATGAATTATCTCACCCTGCTGCCTCCAAGGAGTATCGGCATCTGACATCACCCGTTGAAACTCATTGTAGTCACAAGGTCCATTTTGAGCAGCTCTAGAAGAAAGTAACTAGAGGGCAATCTTTGGACATAATGCTAATGCATAATTACTGAATGACAGAAAACATTGGAACACAAGTCATTTTACCTCTGACCCAGTCATTTATTTTCATGGGAAGAACAAGAGAATGACAATGAAATTACAGCAAGAACACTTTAGGTTAGGGATTGAGAAGAATTTTGTTTTTTAACTGATATTAATAAAAAACATAAAAATGTTACCTTTTAACATGATAATAATGTTTTTAATCAGTAAGTGATTTGAATAATATGCTTTCTGGACAGTTTTAAGATGACTTGGAGGTTCTGCAACACTTCGTTGTGCCATTTTCTTTCTAATTTAGTTATTATTTTTAAAATTAAGTAATAAGGTGTATCATTCTTTAAATTTTGAATCTTATCTTTCCTACATTTTTTACCCTGAGAATTTTTTATATTGGTTTTTGGGGGAGTGTGTGTGTGTGTGTGTGTGTGTGTGTGTGTGTGTGTGTGTGTGTTTAAAAAAGAGACTTTTAAAATCAATCCAAAAAGTATCCCAGCTATTATGAAATTGAAAGAAATACCTGGTATTCTATGTGGAACTCTTTCATGTCTTTAAAATGTATTTCCGACCTAAATCAGACAGTGAGATTACTAGGTTTGCTTCGAGCGGATTGTATTGGACAATGAATCAATATTATCAATTTCTTTTTTGTCTAGAAATAAACCTCTATTTATGTATGTTTGAGTGTGTAATATTTTTAACCCCAAATGCAAATAGAAACAAATTTATAGTTAGGCTTTTTGTATACATTAGAGTGTCCGTGTTAGCCTCATTCAAATATTGAGGTTAACATCATCTATATATCAGGTAATATTGAATCCAAAGTCACCAAATAGTGTTAATAGCATACAGTACTATATTGCCTCCACTAACCTGAAATGTAATACTGCATAGAAATGGCTCATGCAGTTTTTCACATGGTTTCTTCATCCAACAAATGTGGCTGTGATTAAGTACTCATAAGCAAAGAGTCATGTAATGAAAAAAATTTGCATACATATGAAATAAGCACACTGATTCTCAGGCATGACACAAAGCATATCATCTTTTCCTTTGTATCAAGATTCTTTAAACAAGCAAGACACCAAATAGTGATTTTGAAGTATAAACTTCTTCATAAACATATTTTCAATTCAATATTGTTTCACTTGTAAATGCAACAGGCTTTTTTTTTTTTTAAAAGGGCTGCATAGATCTTTGCAAACTTTATATTAATCTCAAGAGACATATTAACTGGGAAAATATTAAGTTCCTTTTAATTTTATTTTTCCCTGGAGCATTTTAAAACTTTGTTCAATCTTTATGGAGTGCATTTTCGGAAATAGATTTCTACTTTTCTTAATAATGTCTTCACTAATCACAGTCCAATACTTCATAGACCAAAAATATTTTGATAAGGAATTCATTCATTATTTACATTTTTGTGTGCATATTGAAAATGCATATGCATCTATAAAATAAGATTGGCTCCATGTACATATAAATGAAACTAAAAGCATACAGGGAAATGTTACATACTCTCTGTACTTTTGACATCTTAATGGGGGATTTTAATAAAGGGAACTCTGTATCTCTGGCTAGTACTTGTGGTCGGGGTTCAACAGTTTTCGTAACAGGATTCTAGCCCCTCCAGGATGTGGAAGTTAGAAGCGGAATGAAGGATTTGAAACCAAAGATGGGAGTTGTGAGAGCAAAGTAGCAGATGTGTGGTAGCAAAGATGACCTATGCAGAATAAGGAACCTCTATAAACTTGGGTTTTTAAGCTTTAAACATTGATGGCTTTCCTTGTAGATATGACAGAAATAATCTACAAATGACCATAATCTAAGGCAAATTGAATTTTCTTCTTACAAGTTATATGAATTTCCTTCTCGTCGTTAATAGTATTTTTCACATTTTGCAAAATGACGATCGTTAAAGAAAACATTTACCTCAAGACCAGTAAGTTTGAGTTTAGGTAGTATTTTTGGATAAATTGTGATTTTGACCAAACAAAGTCATTCGATTAAGTTTTCTGGGGTGGTTTGAAGACTTAAAGAGCACACTTCCATTCTTTGCCCTTTGAAAAACATCATTTCCTAGATTTCCCCCAAGTGTTTTGAGATCCATGGAGATGTAGTGAAGGAGGGAACTGACTGTGAATAATTGTTTGATCTCAAAGTGGATGGGATGAATGATCATAGCTCTGGTGTCCGGATGAAGGGGAAGAGCTTGCAGTGCTGCTGCACAGCCTTTAGGGGAGAGAAAATGTTCAAACACCACAGTAATAGCCTAATCATGGTAACCAAGTGACATACGTGGTGTTGACTGAAGTTTTTTAAGCTATCCTTCATTGATACCCTTCATTCAATGGAAAGATCTAGCAAGGTTCTTTTATGTGGAATCCAGTATAAAAATACTGTCTTAAACGTGCATGACTAATGTCTTTAGAAAATAGCTTCTTCTATAGATAAGAATACTCCATAGGGCACTTCACAGACTGTTAGCAGTATTAAGCCAGTGGATAATTTGAATTAATGAATTCAAAGACTTCATTTTTGCAGCAAAATAAAGTAAGCCATGGAAAGATCAGTGGGTCCATCTGGGTTGATAAAATGAGATAGGGTAAAACCTAGGATCAAAGCTGGGCTACTTGGTCTCCTGGCCCAGTGCTTGTTCAGTTACACAACATTGTAGGCAACAGGCTACAGGTGGAGGCACTGATCTTTCTATAAACAGATTTGACTATGTCACTTTCTAGATTAAAACCCTTCAAAGCCTTGAGACCCTACTGCCTCAGCATACAATCCACCTTCAGTACCATGGCCAGCAAGTCTACACCCTTCTGGGTCCTTATTTTAATAGTCCCCTTTTTTCTTTTGTTATCTCTGCCTGCTGAACTCCTTTTGTCTTTCAAATGCTGCTCCTGTTCTCTCTCTCTCTCTCTCTCTCTCGTGTGTGTGTGTGTGTGTGTGTGTGTGTGAATATATGGCCTTTTCTTACATGCTGGTCCATTTGCTGAAAGCTCTCTTCCCAGTGCTAACCCCCACTCAGCCTGTCAGCTTCCACTTCTCATTTTCTAAGCTGGGTCGGTGCTCCCTGTGCTTCCTGTTGGGGAAATACCAACCACGTCACCTTGCACATGTCTGCTTTTACTTATCTATCCTTCTGCAGATTGTGACTAAAAATAATGTCCGTTTGGTCATCCCTGACGCCTATGTTTGATACATACTAGGTCATATATAAATGTGTTATGATGGAGTAGGAAATTGAATTGATGAAGAGTTAGGGGACGGTTTTTTCTCTTTCTTATTTGTCTCTAAGTGCTATTTTTTGATATTTCCACTCTTCCTCAAATACTTCCTCAAACACATGACCTCTACTTGAATTTCCTTCACCCATCATTTTCCACAGGATCTTCACCAAATTCTAAATGCTGATAGTTACAATTGTGCCCCCTTGTGGCACTTTGTGGAGAGTACCAGCCATTGGCCATTTAGGCCGCCTAGCTTCAAAGCCTAGTCCCATTCTTGCCTTCTTAAGCCTCAGGCGACTTCTCTGTTGGGATTTTCTCATCATGGGGATAATAACAATAATTATCCCATAGGCCTGGAATAAAACTCTTATCAGATTATCCATGGAAAACTCCTGACATAGTGTTGGACATTTGATACTGTCATTAAATATTAGCCACTTTTGTTCTTGGCCTAGAGACTCCCAGATCTCCACAGAAAATAAATAAATAAACAAACAAATAAATAAATAAATAAGGCTGGAATACACTCTACTTAATGGAAAATGAGTGTTAGCATAAGAAATTATAATCTTATTTCCATTTGTACCTTTGGCATTAACATGTTTCATTTAAATGAAAATTATATTTACACTTAGAAGTTGATAAAAATGATCATTTCCAACTTATAGAAACCTCACTTATGACAGAAGCTTTCTTTACTAGTGAAGTGGGTAGCTATGACCTCCTTGTAGACCTAATGGCTGCAAGGTACTTAGAAGGAAATGAAACTTTTCAATCCCCAAATCGCAAACGTTAGCACAGACTGTAGCAGCATAAACCAAGCAAAGCAAATGGAGGGAGGCTCATTCAACACTTTGAATCCTGCAATGGACCCATTGGCTTGCGAGCCCAGAGGCCAACCTGGAATCAATTCACCCCTGTTTGAGGAGAATATGAGTGTATGCTAATTTGACTGCTTGTTAAATATTATTGGACAATTAAAGGCAACTCCATCCCAAAACTGAGTCTTATGTTAAAAATGTTTTTCATTTTCTGTCTTCTCAGACAGCTCAGCTCTCTCAAGCCAACGGAATAGTTTCTCAACGTCCTTTTGGACCAGCTCTTACCAGCCCCCACCTGCACCCTGTCTGGGGGGAGTTCATCCTGACTTCCAGGTCACTGGACCCCCTGGCACCTTTTCTGCAGCTGACCCCAGTCCCTGGCCAGGACACAGCCTGCAGCAGACTGGCCCAGCCCCTCCCCCTCCTGTGTCTGAGTCCTGGCCTTACCCTTTGACATCTCAGGTGAGCCCATCCTACGGCCATATGCATGACGTGTACATGCGGCACCACCACCCTCATGCCCACATGCACCACCGCCACCACCACCACCATCACCACCATCACCACCCTCCTGCTGGCTCTGCCCTGGATCCAACCTATGGGCCTCTGCTGATGCCTTCAGTGCATGCGGCCAGGATTCCTGCTCCTCAGTGTGACATCACAAAGACAGAACCTTCTACAGTCACCACTGCTACCTCAGCATGGGCTGGAGCCTTTCATGGAACGGTGGACATAGTGCCAAGCGTGGGATTTGATACAGGTGAGCTGGTGGGGTTCCTGCTTTCTCTAACAAGAAAAAGTTAATTTAAGAAGGGGTGGGTCTTTTTGGAAATGTGTTTTGAAATTATTTTTTCTTATCTGTAAAGTTAAACTTTACCAACATGTTTATGGAACCTAGCCATTTTGCAATAATTTCTGCATTCCTGGAGAAACTGGTATGACTAGCTCATGAAATACAGCCGGAGAAAGGCCTAGAGCTTTTCGCTCATCTCTTCAGCTAGTAGTCTGGTTTTCTTTAAATGGAATCTCTGGTACCTTCTGTTTACAAGGAACTGAGCCCATTTTTCAAATTTCCCATGTCTCTGTGCATTATACCATGTGTTAGGTCTAATAGAATTCAGAAATAGTACACTTGGGTAATTTTTCTTCCTCTCCTTTTTTGTTAGGCCTTATGTATGACTTATAAAAACTGCTGTGTGAAACATAGTCTGTAATGCAGCCCTTTGAAAACGGATTGGTGAACATGTTTTAAATGAATGAATTGTTCTTTCTCCCTCCCTCCCTCCCTCCCTCCCTCCCTCCCTCCCTTCCCAGGCTTTACCCTCTTTTGCTTTTCCTTCTTTTCATTTTCTTATTCCTCCTCTTTTGCTCCTCTCCTCTCTCCCTGTCTCTGATTTAAATAACACAAGACTTAAAAAACTGCTATGAAACTTATATCCAACAGCTTTAGAAACAAATAGTAAGAAAACAGTTTCTTCACAGAGCATTCATGTCCTCTCTGAAATTCGCTGGTTCTGAAGGTTATGGTGTTACATGTCTGAACGTGATTTTTGGACCAGACTAATCATATTAATAGTATTCATAGTTCTGAGCTCAGGAATTCACAGGCATCAGAGTCCAAAAAGACAAATTGATCATTGCATCCCTGGAGTCTACATTCCAAAGTGGTGGGTTTTAGGTCCTTTTGCTAGAACATTTTGTGGTATAGTGGAACTCTCTTCCCAAAAGTAAAAGATATTCTTTCCTTCCTTAGTTTTTCTATAGTATGGAGAACCCTTAATCATGTGCTAGTTCACAACAAATAATTCCCCAGAGTCATAAATGCTCAGCTTTATTTTACCTCTCCTGTGACCTGAGTGGAACATTCTTATTTTGGTTAACCATTCTCCACTGAGCTTTTCATTGTTGATCATTGCACCATCTAACCCATTTCAGCTTCCTATGGAGGAAGCTGCTTTTCTAAACAAAGTATCAGGACTTGGTACTCCCTCCACAGAAGAGTATGTGGTGAGACCAGCCAGCACAGGCTTCCCTTCTTTCTTTGCCACATATCAACAGAATAAAGACAACTTGGGAATCATTTGATGCCTGGGGTCAGATCTTTATTAGTGTTCCCAATTTGGCAGCTGCCTTCATGGGCAGCAAGTCTCAGGAGACTCTTCTGTCTTACATGATACCTACGTGGCGAGGGTAACAATGCTCTTAGCAGGCAAAGGATGTGTTCTTCCCTCTGTGAAGTCTACCAGTAAGGGGGAAATGGATGTGACTGTTGCTCTTTCATTTTGATGGCCTACATTTGTGCTTGTTCACTTTGGTGTGAACTTGATTCATTGGCTTGTTACAGGATTTCAGCTTGAAATAATCTCATCAAGATGAAAAGCCATTCTCACACCTTTTGGGAGAAGAAAAGTGAGTTTTTGTTCTCTGAAAATTCTTGAGAGGACTCAGTTGGATATAATTTATAATAATTATTCATACTTACAGAGTTATGAATGAGCATTTATTACTCACAATATAAGGCATTACCTGAGGTACTTTATACACACACACACACATCCATACACAGACACTATTACTTTAAATTCTTAAACCAAATCTGAGATAGATCTTGTGAGTTTCATTTGTGAATAAGGAACGTGAGTCTCAGAAAACTACTTGCTTGAATTGCATTTGTATGTGTCCAAGCTGAAGTTTGAACTAAGATGTGTCCCTTTCTAAGGGACTGCAGGGATAACATCACCTTGTATAAGTAAATCAGGTAAAATTGGGTGAATTAGACTACTAAAATGGATAATAGTGAAAGATGAAGGTTTTCCTATTGGATGTGTGGAATGCTGCCCTTTGTCAGTGTGGGTTTAGGGCAGTGATCAAGATTCATTCATATTTCATAAATTTTGGCCCAATTGAGAAAACAAAGGAATCTTGAAAATAAAGATAAAATTATTAGCATAATCACTGATGAGGCAGAATTGGAAATTCTAGATTAGACTTACTGCCACAATTAGACCTCCTACTGCCTTCAGCTAAGTTTAGATTCTAGGGAAATCTGGACTTCAGAGATTCCCATAGACACCTTTCTTGTTATACAGTTTAGAGCTCCATTACTGTGAAGAGATTGATGATTGCTCAGATTTTTCTCTGAAAAACATAATCTGAGGCCTAACTCTTGTGCAGTTTCCCTACAAAAGGCACAAGCAGGAGGACAGTGCACCATCATGCATGGGGGCTGGCCCAAAAGAGACAAAGAGACTGAGCCGTATGTGGTCATTTTATTCTGCTAAACTTGGATATAATAACAAATATTACATCTCACTTTCTTAGAGAGGGCAGGAGTTAGAGAGGGGTGTTGTAGGTTAATTTTTCTAGAAAACAGACTCAGGCTCATATTTGCCTGTAGACAATTTATGGGATAATACTATCAGGGAAACATCTTTGTAGGAAGAGAGATTTGGGCAGAAGTCTCACTGATAAAGTTAATAGAGGCCTGGATTCTACAAGGAGCTCTGGAGTGAGACGGCTCTTCATAACTGTTCTGCCTAGGGTCAAGGGGGTTGGGCTTTTACACTCCTGAATTGACCACTTAAAAGCTGTGATCTGCCTCTGGGAAGGGGACATGATACTGGGCAAGGGAGGTTCAACTGAAGGCAATTCCCAAAGAGGGAAACAACTGAGAGTCAGGAATTGCCAGCAGCAGCAGAATAAATGCCTGGGTCCCACAGGGAGAGGGATCTGGTTGCACACCACAGTGTCCACTAAAGACGGACAGCAAAAGGGTGGTAGCTACTCTACCACTTTTCCAAATACTGTCAAATGAACAGAAGTTTCTGCATAATAGGACCAAGCTAGGAACAGGTAGTAGAGCAGTTGGGAACAGTGACAGTTGAGTCCCTCTGTATAACTTGTGTCACATTGGCCTGACCATGCAGCCTGAACCAGTGACTCAGCTGAGAACTCAGCATCAATATTGGGTAGCTACCGAGCAGCCAAGGGAAGAAGCTTCATACATCACAAAACTTTCCAAAGTCCAGGCCACCTGGACTATTAAAATATAGGTCATTTTCATATCCATTGGAAAGTAAATACGTTAATCCAATTATTTTGAGAACAACTTGGTAAAAACATGAAATTTTCTTTCTTTCTTTCTTTCTTTTTTTTGACAGAGTCTTGCCCTGTTGCCCAGGCTGGAGTGCAATGGTGCCATGTTGGCTAACCACAACCTCTGCTTCCTGGGTTCAAGCTATTCTCTTGCCTCAACCTCCCAAGTAGCTGGGACTACAGATACATGTTACTATGCCTGGTGATATTTTGTATTTTTAGTGGAGACAGGTTTTCACTATGTTAGCCAGGCTGGTTTTGAACTCCTGACCTCAGGTGATCTGCCCGCCTTGGCCACCCAAAATGCTGGGATTATGAGCATGAGCCACTGCGCCCAGCCTAAAAAGATGAAATTTTCATCAGTAGAGAAATGATGTCTTAGTGCTTTCAAGCTGTTATAATAAAACACCATACACTGGGTAGCTTATAAACAACAGATATTGTCATAGTTTTGGACTCTGGGAAATCCAAGACCAAGGTTCTAAAATATTTGGTGACTTATAAGGGCCTGTTGTTTAGATGCCCATCTTTTCATTGTAACCTCGTAAGGTGAAAGGGGCAAATTAACTTTAAGGATCTCTTTCATAAGGGCAATAATACCATTCAGAAGGGCTCCACCCTTATAACCTAATTACCTTCTAAGGCTCACTTTCTAAAACCATCATCTTGGGGGTTAGGATTTCAACATCTGAATTTATTTGGAGGGGAGTCATAAACATTCCATTCATTGCAAACAGTTTAATAATTTTAGGTGCATATTTTTCTTTGTAGTTATTTAAAGAAACTAAGGAAATCTTGAAATCTAGAAGGTTGAACATAATATAATATTTAGTGACAAAAAAGTTTTATAGTATCATGTATAGCATAATACAGGGGTTAGCAAAATTTTTCTGTAAAGAAACAGATAAAAATACTTTATGCTTTGCCGTTCCATACAGGTCTCTGTTACCACTATCTAATTCTGCTCTGCTCATGTAGTGTAGAAACAACTATAGACAAAACTTATATGAAGATGGTTGCGTTCCAATAAAACTGTTGATTGGTGCTGAAATTTGAGTTATATATATTTCTCACATGTCATGAAATGCTACTCTGCTTTTTTTTCTTCTTTTCTTCCAATCACTGAAAAATTCACTCTTAAATTCTTAGCTCATGGGTATACATAAACAGGTGATGCCGGATTTGGCCAGTGGGTAATTTCTGACCCCCGTATTATTCCTGGGTTTTATCTTCTATACACATTCATGAATGTGGGCACATGCGCTCCCTCAAAGAAAATTAGGCCGGGCGCGGTGGATCAAGCCTGTAATCCCAGCACTTTGGGAGGCCGAGGCGGGTGGATCACGAGGTCAAGAGATCGAGACCATCCTGGTCAACATGGTGAAACCCCGTCTCTACTAAAAATACAAAAAATTAGCTGGGCATGGTGGTGCGTGCCTGTAGTCCCAGCTGCTCAGGAGGCTGAGGCAGGAGAATTGCCTGAACCCAGGAGGCGGAGGTTGCGGTGAGCCGAGATCGCGCCATTGCACTCCAGCCTGGGTAACATGAGTGAAACTCCGTCTCAAAAAAAAAAAAAAGAAAATTATCTAGAAGGGTATATCCCAACTTTTAATGGTAGTGACTCCTGGTAAGTTAGTGTATGGCATGAGCTTTGAAGCCAGACTG